GAATTCAGTATGGGAGTCTATTAAGCACAAAAAAAGAATTGTGAAGAAAAAATAAGTGGTCTCAAGAAGTCTGCATAAATGTACTCTTCAGAAATATATGATGATTAAATATACCATGGGAGCTCTCTGCTTAAAAAAAAGACATTTCTCTTGTTGCAGCCAGATTTCCCTATGTTAGGACACAGTGAATGGAGTTCATGAGAAACCCCCATGAGTAGTTCACTGCATACACCCCATCAGTAAGTAGGTGCTGAGGCACAAGAACCTCGGCTGCAGTGATTAGGGAGGTTCTCACCCAAATCTCTCTTCATTATAAGATCTGCAGGTGGTGATGGCAGGGATGAGGATCCCCCACCTCTTTTCCTTGTTGCTAAATACGAGCTTCCAAAAAATGGTTGTGAATGACAGAGACTGTAAGAATTATGCATATTTTACCACATCATTAACCTAAGCAAAGTGTGATTCAACCACAATATGTCAGCAATACACGGGACTACAGTGACGCTTTTGGCAAGAATTTGGAAATAAAATTTCTTACTGAGACATACTGTTTGAAATTAACAAATAATTGTTTAGAACAGAGACATGTTAAGTAACCTGTAGAAGACAGAATGGTTTCCAAGCTGGTGGGACTCTGCAGAGATTTGGTATTTTTAAAAATTGTGTCCATCAGAATTTAAGTAGCATTGGAAGTATACATAAATGGAGTCACTGAGGCAAATGGTGGTGGGATCCATCTGCTCAGGAAAAGGCAACTTTAGTCAGGCTTTTCAATTGGTCTAGACCCATTAATTCCTTCATTTATTCACTGAACTTTATTCAGTCCCTACTAAATCAGGCATTAGCCTACATGCTGGAGATACGGATGTGAATAAGTCAAAATCCCGTTTCTATTCTGGTGCAGAAGGTAGTTGGTTAAAAAAATAAACCACACACCAATAGCATCAAGTTTGTGCTTCAAAAAAGGCTTAACGAGGTAGGAAGATACAGTGAAGGAGGGAGGTCTTGGGGAAGAAACAAGGTATTATTTCAGATAGGACATCAAAGAAGGCACTGATAAGAATGTGATATTTAAGCAGAGATAGCTGCACAAAGTGAGGAAGAGAGCCATTCAAAGATCAGAGTTAAAAAAAAAAAAGTTATAAGATGACAGAAGAGGAAGTGGCAAGTTCAGACGCTGGAATAAACTAGTGTTGTGGAAATAGAAAGGCCAGTTTGGCATTTGTGTGTTGTTTGCCAAATATTCTGGTTCCCTCTCCTTCTGGGCACAAGACAGAATTGCACTACCTGGTTCTTCTGTAATTGTATATAGGACCATGTGACTAGTTCTGGAGAGTCGTAAGTGGAAATAATATGTGTCATTTACAGACAGAGCAATGTTAAGATGCTCTAGAGCTTTTCCCTCTCTGGTATGATTGATGATTGCTAATGCATGATAGTGGCTGCTCCATCAGCCTAGATCTAGCAGAAAGGAAGGAAAAAGAATCATCACTTGTCTTCCAGCAGACACATAATTTGAGTAAGAAATATTAGTATTGTGGTTGTTTTTTGTTTTGAGATAGGTTATCGCTATGTTGGCCTAGTTTGGACTCAAAACTCCTGGGTTCAAGAGATCCTCCTGCTTCAGCCTCTTGAGTAGCTGAGACTACAGGCACACACCATGATGCCTGACTGTACTGTTTTAAGCCTGTGAGGTTTGGGGATATCTCAGTATGGTGTAACCTATCCTGATGGAGACAGTAAGTGTAACTGGTGGAAAGCAAGCTAGAGGGAGACTGGCAGACAATGAGATCTAAGGAATAGGTGGAGGGCAGGTCATGCTAAGCCTTGTAAATTATGACAAATTTGGATTGCATTCTGTGCGAAGGAAAACCATTGGAGGACCTTGAGCAGGGAAATATGACATGATTTGCATTTCAAAAGAATCAGTCATGTACAGGAAACTTCTTATTCATAAGAAACACATACTGAGGTATTGAAAGATGAAGTATAATGATTTCCACAACTTACTTCAATTGGTTCAGTAAAATGTGTGTGTGTGCATGTGCATAAATTCACCAAGGGGGAAAAGAGTTAATTGGTGAATCTAGATGAAGGTTCACGGTACTCTTTCAACTTTTTTGTGGGTATAAATTTTTAAATAAAGTTGGGGGAACCACTCTAGAGAACTATAAGACCATTATGAGCTGCTGCAGGTGTGAAGTGGTTTGGGCTGGAGTGGCAGTGGTGAAAAATGGGTGGATCTGAAACCCATTTTGTATTTGGAGCCGGCAGGATTTGCTGATAGATTGGCTGTGGAGTGTGAAAAGAAGTTGATGTGTTTCTTAGGTTTTTGTCCTGAGCAGGCATGAGGTGGGTGATGCCATTGAGAGGGGATGACAGTGGGAGGGCTAGGGTTAGGATATGGAAAACAGCAATTCTATTTGGGGCACATTAAAGGTGAGGATCCAAATGGAGACTGGGTTGGCAGCTGGATAAATGAGTTGAGAATTCAAACAGGTCTAGGCTGGAAATACGTAATATGGAATTATCAGCATCTACTAGCACCCAAGCCACGGATGGATAGGCTCTCCTAGAAACCAAGTGTAGGTAGAGGAGGGCAAGGACTGTGCCATGGGGAACTGGAGCATGAATGGACTGGAAAGAGAATCATACAATCCATTTGATTTCTCTTGTTCTGATTCCATGCTTACTCAGCAAGTACCTGATTATTGTTTGACTTCCCATACAGGACCACACGTAAAGGAAAGACTGGCCATATGGACTTGGAATATTCTGGTTCCTGGGAGAGTTCTCACTGTAAATAAATTTATCACATTCACAAGCTTAGTTTGAATTAGTCCCTGAAACAAAACCATAATCAGTGTGCTGACAAAAATCTGATGGTGAGTCTGCGTAAGGGAGAGCCAGACCCTGCACTGTGGAAACTCCCCAAGAGAATAAATGCTACACTGCTTGCTGGCACTCTTCCATAGCTCACGCCTCTTTGCGGCCTGCCAAGTGAAAATGTTCTCATATTTCCACAACTGGTGAGACAATCCTGAGCCAGGTATAGCTAAGAGAATATTCCTTTTTTTAGGTGTATACCTTATATTGTCAAAGTTCTATTTATGTGCCATGGTGTCTCTAACATAGTTTTCCTTCCACATGATCTTGTATTTCCTTAGATCAGGGTCCTTATTAGTTTATTAATATTTGGAGAGTATTCTCTATGTGCTTGCCCTTGATATATTTAAAAATTTTATTTCATTTTTGTATAGGTAATATTCAATTGGTTCAAAAATCAAAATGACATTGAGAAATCTTCCCACCTCCTCCAGATTGGGATCTCCCTGCCAACCTCCACCCTCCAAATCACTGCTTCTCTCACTTTGTGAATCCATCTAGCCTTTAGGCTGTTAGCAATCTTTTGCTATTACAAAGTTGTAACTAATAACTACATATACATATATATACATGGTTTGTGAACTGTAGTTTGTTTTCTCTGCTAAGCTGTGATGATGGGAAACACATATTCTACTTGTTTTGGGAGGGGATGGGCAATTTCTGATAAAAGTTCAGGCTCAAACTGCATTCTTCCCTTTTCCTTTTAGTCTGAAATGTGGGTAACATGGCACTTTCTGTATAACATGATTAAATAGCATCCCGCGCTGAATCAGTCTAAAGATGTTCAAGTTTAACTATTTAGTGTCTATTGCTTTGAAAATAAAAATGCTTATGCTGGCCCAATGAGAAACAATTAAGAAGGTCTATAAAGGTTACTGGAGAAAATCTATTTGTGGGAGGTGGATCGACATGTAACTTAATAATAAAAAGAAACGCAGCTGAGAAGTTAATGTGTATTTGTTTTTTCCCTCCCATGGTGTAGCAGATTGTATTTTCCAAAGATAGCTGCCTTAATATATACCATCCCACATGCTCTTATGATGTGACATTGACACTGTTCCCATTGAGTGGTAGGGCCTGCATACGTCTCCCTTGAACCTCAGGTGATACTTATGACTGCTCCAAAAATAGAATACAGTGGAAGTTGTCCAGTTAAGCCCAGTCAACCCCCAGAACCACAAGTAAATAACATGATGATTCAAAAAATTAAGTTTTGGGATTATTCATTATGCAGCAGTACAAAATAGAAACATGATCTTGATTTTAACTTGTCTTTACATTTTCCTTGGTCTTGATTCTTTAATTTTTATTCAGATTTTACTGTAATTTTGTCTGTTCCTTTTCTTGGGTGGAGGTGGTCTGTTCTTATTGCAGGTCACTTCACATCCTTTGTGGTGGAGGGTATAAATACAATGTAATTACATTTTTTAAAAAGCTTTCCTGTCTAACTCAGGAATGTAAACTCCCTACTGTTATTCTGTAAATAAGGATAAATCCATGAAAGTGTTATCACTATTGTTGAGAGATTTCTTTTAAGGAAAAGAAAAAGGATTACTTTCTGTAGATCTGTTCTACACTTTCTGCTCCTCCCCAAAATAGACCCTTTGCCCATGAAAGTTTATAGAAATTATAATTTCATCTATGAGGACCAAATAACTAATTCATTCAACAAATAGGCCCTCAACAGGCATCTATTGTGTGTAAGATATTAGAACAAGTGCCAAACGTACAAAGACCCAGTCCGGCCTCACAAAAGGGCTCCGGGACTAGTGACTATTTATACCTATTAAATGCTTACCATATGCAAAGCACTGGGCATGTCTGGAAGTCATTAAATGCATACAGTAATGGAGGAGTGTTTAAAACAACCACACAAAAAGCAAAGTGACCAAATAACCTGAAAAACAATTTAAAAAAAGAATGAAAAAAATTATGCAGCAATTTTAAATTCATCCATGAATTTGGTAAAAGAGCTAATTTATTCTCTCCATATTCACAGAAACAAAATAATGTATCATATAGCATAAATGTTTAAAAAGCCAGAATTATATTTAGTATAAAAATTGTGATATTATAGTTTTCAAATACATTAGTCAACACATTTATTAATCTAATAAATGTAGAAGACACTGTCCTTGTCCATGGCAAAATGCATAGTATTACACTGATAAGCTTTTAAAATAAAATATGAACATTTTTAAATGAAATAAATTAGAAATAAACATTAGAAATATAAATTGCCAAATTATTTGTTACTGTGGAACTCTGGCTTTTCACCAAATATAAGAAAAAACAGTAAATACATAAAATATCCTTACAAGCTCTTGGGTCAGGAGAAAATGAAAGTATTAATTGTATATCCTTTCTAGTATTAACCTTTTATTAAAGAAATGAAAGCATTCACAATACATAGTTATATTTTAACTAACATATATCCAAAGGTATATGGAAGGTGAAAATCTATCCAAGGTTTTCCAAATGAAGTGGCAATAAACCAATGACCATATAAAAGTAAAAATTAATTTTATGCTTTTTGAAAAAAAAATATGAGTCTTTTACTCACTGCTTTATAAAGTATGAGTAAGGAAAATTAAATAAAGCAAATAACATATTCAATATTACAGACAATTAGACTAAGCCCATCCAAATCAGAGATTAAATGATTCTAAACATATAAAGATGAAGGGGGGCTAGAGCGAAAAAGATGCAGAAGAATAAAAAAGGAGCAAGAAAGGAACACCCTCCTCTAAACATATAGGCTAACATAGAGCTGAGACACAGAGAATAAAACAGGGAAAAAACTGACACACTTAGCCAAATCTTGGCTTCCTCTCTAGTTTTGTCCCATAAAGTAATGTAATATTTGCATCTCGTCTGGTGACCTTAGTGTGCTTCTTCTAAAGACTTTTAAAGTTATGGTATTTTCCTAAGTAAACTGAACTGACTTCAGAATCAGTGGTCACATGCCTGCTTTACTTGGCTTGAGTTAAGATGAAAAGTTTGGTTAATTAAAAACTTCCGATGTTATAGTTCATCTTCAGAATCTTGACTGTGAACTTTCTGAGGGTGTCTCTTAACAGGGATTACCAAGTCAATGGTTAATATTTTTGTCAAACACTGGAGAACTGAAGTTAGCAGCTGGCATTTACCAGTTACTGATTCCAAACCTGTCTGACTGCTTACTATGGGTTGATTGGTTTGCAGTGCATGGACAGCTCTTATATACATATGTGGAAAACTGTCCTTTCCTGTTTTAGATTTATAAAGGACTTTGGGAATGCCTAAAAGTGCATTAGCTATTATCATACTAACCATGGTTTCTTCTGATTGATGGCATTTTTTGGCATAGTTGAGAAGATAGTAATGTAACAAGATCTCAAAATTACCACCTACTGGCAAAACACAACCAGCTGGCACAGATGAGGAAAGGTAACTCTGGGAAGCACCCATATTCTGTAACTTGCAGCTCACTGGTAACAAGCCTCCCTTTCCAGTAATATTTGTGACCTGTAAATTTTCATAACAAATTTCTATTCTACTGTTTCCTCTTATTGAATAAGCAGTGGAACTGCTCTTGAGTAATGCTTCATAATCACCAATTAGCCTGTTTTCTTCCAAAGACAAACATCTCAGCATTTCATCTGTTCGGAATGTATCTGCTGGTGTCAGTTTGGGGGTTGAATATGGAGTATATGTTTCTAATTCTACATCTGAAATTGCCAAATTTGAATATGCTTTTAAATATGTTTGTGTTTTTTCCAATTCATCTTTGTTCTCTGCAACTGTGTCCGGATAAGGCTTTTGTAGTGAGCCATTACCAGCATCTGGTACCTGAGAACTTTCTCCACTGTTCTTACAAATAAAAAGACTTGCAGTGTCATTTTGGTCATTGGTTTGTGTCACATAATTTAGATCAAGGTCTTTAAATAATTGCCGAAGCATTTTAAATGCTCCATGTAAAGCATCCTCATGTTGTTCAATGAGACCCTGAACTGGTCCACAAAGAACTATACAGTGTGGTATAAATGTACATGTGCTAATCAACCCAAGATGAACATATCTTCTTGATCTAAGGATAAGAGGTTTACAAAATTTCACCGGAGCAGTGTTAGAGATTTCACACTGTGAAAAGGCGTGTGGTGGTACAAATGGGGAAAGACCAATAATCCTCTGGATAAGAGAAATTTCTTCTGATGATAAGCACTCAACCACTGATATACCATTCACTCCTGCATAATAAATAACTAAATCTGGTTGTCTCACACTAGATAGGAGCAATTTTACATTCTGACTACGTAGATGTTTCATTATTGCTTTTGTCTTTTCTATAATCCAAAATTGAGATGTTTGAAACTGTGCTTCTGAATTTAGAATAAACTCTGATCCAGAAGTGGAAAAAAGAGGCTGAATGGTTTCTGTTACTATCACCATTCGTATGTCACCATCTGCTGGGCAGTACATAGAAAAATCTTTCTGAAGCACAAGCCCAGCTATGATCCTGGAATCTGAAACAGGAAAGCCGGTGACACCAACATTCAACTCTACAAAACAGTCATCCACTAACTCAAATACATCAATCCCACTTTTACAAGTCATACACTTGAAAAAGTAGTCACACATCAACTGTGAAATAAATTTGTGATTATTTCTTCCCACTCTTCCACAAAAGTATGCTTCTAAGAGCAACATTAAAGAGCTCCTACACAATGTCCTCTCTTTAGCAGATGAAAAGATAGACAAAAAGTGTCTGCTTAGGTACTGGTCCATAATACCATCTAATACTTGTGTCTGAAACGTTAGGAGAGCCTGGGAAATAAATTTCCACTGACAACAATTTTTCCAATGCCTTCCATACGTTTGAATGTTTTCACACATCAAAGAATCCTTTTCTCTCTCTGCGATTGCATGAAGTCCTCTAAGTAAACTGGCAAAGATAGATAATAAATGTTTTTGCACCATCTCCTGTTTTTTTGAGATGACTGGAAACACAGTCCACTATCATCCTGTACAAAAAAGAAATAAAGCAACTCATTTTCAGAAGGCTGGCTTCCCACATCTAAATTAAGTTAAAACCACAGCTATAGGCATAAAATAAGAATATTGTTCATTTGATACATTCTTATTTTCTTTTCTTGAAAAAACCTCTGCTCTATCCCAAGATTCGATTCCACAGTTGGGTGGAGAGGGAAAAAGTGTTTTTGGGAATTGGTTAAGATTTGGGGTACAGGAGTGTTCCCTTGGGCAGGGTTCTAATTCCGAGCATCCAGCGGTTTCACCCGGGGTCAGTCTTTCCAAGTAAGAATAGCCTCAGGATGGGACAAGAGGACCACAGAGGCTGCCTGGGGTGCCCAGCAACGGGCTAGCGTACGGGACGGGGATACCTGGCTATGGGATGCTCTAAGTGTAGCGCCTCCAGGAGGCGGCCTCCATTCCGGCTGAGCAGCACCTCGCCAGTGGGCTTCGTACACAAAACCTGCCGCCCTTCGGGCCCCACACAGCAGCTCACGATGGCTTCCAGCGCCTCGGTCACCGGCAACGCCGCCTTCACAGATCCTGCGCCGGCCATAGAACTTAGCCTCTGGGCCACTTTCCCTTCTTTGCCAGCTTGCGGACCACCAAGGCAGACGATAAGAGGCCTGGGAACGGCCGGAAACGGAATAGGCGGGGAGAAAACCGGAAGCCAGGTTGAGAAGCCGGGATAGCAGGGCTTCTTGGTTGGGCGAAAGCGCTGCCCTTCCGTCCGCTGGGAGGAAATGCCCCGCCGCTTTGCCAGCTGGCGTCAACTAGCCCGCTGTCCGCGAAGACAGAAAAAAAGGCCAGGATTTCCGGCAGCTGTGCTTGGAGCGGCACCCTTAAGCCCTTCCCCTGTTCCTCAGGTGAATTCATTTTCCTCCAGTGGCGTCAGCTGCCCCCAAATCCTTTAGTGTCCCGAGACACTTTCTTCCGGAATCAACGCGGTAGTGGGGCCTGCGTGGAGAGGGCACCCGGGTTGGAACTCGGCTGGCTTTCATCCCTTGCTAGAAGCTGCTTGTTAGTGGGCAAAACCTCTGCCTTGGATTCACTGTCCATATTCTCCACCAGTTGCTCTCCTTATCGTCACGGAAATAATTTCTAGATGTAGGACAGGTGCGAAGGGTCTGGCCACAGCCATGAATTGCAGGCTTTATGTCTGCTGCGGAGGTTTTACCACATTCCCTAGACTTAGGTATCACAATAAAACTCTAGACACCACAAATACATTACTTTTTCTTTAGCAGAAATGACGTGAAGATTCATTCATTCATTCATTCGAGATGGAGTCTCGCTCGTCGCCCAGGCTAGAGTGCAGTGGTGTGATCTTGGCTCTCTGCAACCTCCACCTCCGGGGTTCAAACGATTCTTGTGCCTCAGCCTTCCAAGTAGCTGGAATTACAGGCATGCGCCAGTGTGCCCAGCTAATATTTGTATTTTTAGTAGAGACAGGGTGTCACTATGTTGGCCAGGCTGGTCTCGAACTCCTGACCTGAAGTGATCCACCCCCCCTCCTCAGCCTCCCAGAGTGTTGGAATTACAGGTGTGAGCACTGCGTCTGGCTGATGTGAAGATTTAAATCCATTAGTCACGTTGGTGATCAACAGTATGCTTTAAAAACACACTGGCCAGGGATTATTGTATATAATCCAATGACAGAATGCTGTCTTTTATATTACAATACTTTTTTTTTTTTGAGACTAGGTCTCACTCTGCCGCCTAGGTTGGAGTGCAGCGATCATAGCTCACTGCAACCCTGCGTTCCTGAGCTCGTGATCCTTCTGCATTAACCTCCAAGTCACTTCGTGCCTTGCTAGGCCGGTTATTTTCATTTAGTAGAGATAGGGTCTCCCTATGCTGTCCAGCCTGGTTTTGAATTCATGGCCTTAAGTGATCCTCCAGACTTGGCCTCCCAAGGTGTTAAGATTACAGGCATGAGCCACCTTGCCTGGCCTAAAACACACACACTTTAGAGTATGGGCTTTGGATTCACACCTGGGTTTGCTGTTATTTCCTTACCTGTGGCATTTACCAAGTAACCTCTTTGATCTCTGCTTTTCTAATCTTTAAAAGCAATGGGCCTGGCTCATGCCTATAATCCCAGCATTTTGGGAGGCCAAGGCAGGCCACCACAGGAGGCCAAGAGTTTGAGACCAGCCTGGCCAACATAGCGAAACCCTGTCTCTACTAAAAATATGAGTTAGCTGGGCATGGTGGTGCATGCTTGTAATCTCAGCTACTCTAGTGGCTGAGTCATAAGAATACCTTGAACTTGGGAGGGGAGGTTGCAGTGAGCTGAGACTGTACCACTGCACTCCAGCCTGGGTGACAGAGCAAGACCTTGTCTCAAAACAAAACAACCCCTCTCCAAAAAAACCAATGGATGTAACATAAATAAAAGAAAAATCTCAAGGTTTTGAGGAGGTGGAATGTTCACTATACCTTGCATAGTGCCTAGCATAGTTAGCACTCAAAATTAAAATATTTATAGTACATCTGTTATAGGAAAAGGGTCCCAATCTAGACCCCAAGAGCGGGTTCTTGGATCTCATGTAAGAAAGAAATTCAGGGCAACTCCATAAAGTGAAAACAAGTTTATTGAGAAACGAAAGAATAAAAGAATGGCTACTCATTGGCAGAGCAGCCCTGAGGGCTGCTGGTTGCCCAATTTTACAGTTATTTCTTGATTGTATGCTAAACAAGGGGTGGATTATTCATGCCTCCCCTTTGTAGACCATATAGGGTAACTTGCTGATGTTGCCATGGCATTTGTAAACTGTCACTGGCACTGGTAGGAGGGTAGCTGTGAGGACAACCAGAGTTCACTCTCGTGGCCATCTTGGTTTGGGTGGGTTTTGGCTGGCTTCTTTACTGCAGACTCTTCTATCAGCAAGGTCTTTATGACCTGTACTTTGTGCCAACCTCCTATCTCATTCTGTGGCTTAGAATGCCCTAATCATCTGGGACTGCAGCCTAGTAGGTCTCAGCCTCATTTTACCCAGCCCCTACTCAAGATGGACTTGCTCTGGTTCAGATGCCTGATACACCCACCAAATTACTGTGGTAGGTCACCACTCTCCTGGTTCGTTATTCCCACAAGTGGTATTTTGTACGATGCAGAAGATTCAGCTAGCATAATAGCACAACATACATCACCTGCGAGAGCCAAAACATGCCAATATTAGCAAGAAAATGATCTTGTAGATATTTCACTGAGGTTGGACAATGAGGGGCTGTTTTCCTTACTCCTTATTGCTATGACCAAGATAGAAGGAACTAGCAGGCCCTCCTATCTTTTTCTCCTGAACTATGAAACCAAATCAAATGACAGCCAGAAGCCAGTGGAGGCTGAGAGGGCAAGAATGGGAAGAGAGGAGAGTGGGGGGAAAACCAGAGAGAAAGGATGTCTTGGAACTCATCTGATATTGACTCAGTATGGACTAATAGGTGTAATCTGAGGAGGAAAAAAAAAAAAAAACCTTTCATACGGATTTGGTATGTTTGTTTAATAGTAGGGGTTTTTTTCTGGTGCTACTCATAACAAAAGGGTTACATTATTCAACAGAGATTCAAGCAGTGGATTATATTTCTGACATTGGGAAGTGAAGTGCTACGGCTAGCGTTCTATTTAAGTGTACAATGGATATACAGATTCAAACTCTTAAGTAAGAGTGGGCTACTAGTCTTACTCTGAAGCTTTTGGAGACTTTCAACCTCTCCGAGCCTCAGTGTCTTCATGCATAAAATCTAGCTTACTTCCACTTAAGGTTCTCATAGAGGATTCAAGAAGAATGAATATAAAGCACGAAGCAAAGCATACTTCAGGGATTCCCACTGTTGAATCCCTTTCAAGTTTTCTGCCATCCTTTGCAGCTATCTCTACACCCCCAAAAGGGAGGATTACAAAAAATTAACACTAATTTAGTCACCATGTTGTATTAAAAGTCACTTGATCACACTTTGTTCTTTTACAAAATTTTATTTAGAAGCCTACTTATAGAAGTTAGCATAATTTTACAGATTATTAGAAAAATTCAATTATTTTCTTTCTGCAAACAGTTATAATAGGTTAGGAATAATAGATTAGAAATGTACTACATTACAAAACAGTGGCCTATAACTACCTGTACATTTACTATGCACCTTAAGGAAAAGAATTTGACAGTGTGCTGTACTTACACTGCAGGTAACATATTTTTATTCTATCACACAAAACTGACCAGTGGTAGTGCTTGAATTTATAAATGGCCATTAAACAAAATATTTAAACTCAGATGTATATTTAGCATGCCAAAAAGTGAAAAAAAATTTCAACTGAAGTTCTGTGGCTCATCAGTTCAAATGTTTCATGGCATTTTTTTCTTTAAATGATAAAATTTGATATTGTAAAACCAAACAATTTTACATAACAAATGCAAAAAGATAAAATTTTCTAAATTTTAGAAAGAATATTCACATTCATTTTGTCATGGGTTTCATGTGGCCTCTTCTAAATATATTAATCATATTAATAAGACACTGGTCCTATACAATTTTAACAGTCCACTTCAATTAAAACCTGTAACAAAAACAAACAGTATGTAAGAGTAACAAAAAGTAAATTAAATATACTAAACTCACACAACGGATAGAATAAAATGAAACCAAATTACATAATGGCAGGTTATACATTTTAAAGACTCTCTTTCCACTTAGTCAAATAAGATAGAAATTGAAATGTAAACTTACTGATTTCTGTGGGGCTTTGCCCACTGGATCAGATTGGAAAATTTGATATAAATCTAATATTTTATTTATGTACATTTAATATGATTCAGTATAATCTGCAGTCTCATGTATGGCTTATCAGTAATGCCATCATCACTGTATATCAAACAAAAAAACCTCACTGCTTACTAGAAATGCTAAATACTGGAAAAAATGGAATTTTATACATTTGTTTTCTTAAATTTTGACAGATCAGTAATGCCATCATCACTGTATATCAAACAAAAAAACCTCACTGCTTACTAGAAATGCTAAATACTGGAAAAAATGGAATTTTATACATTTGTTTTCTTAAATTTTGACAGATATTCTTCAAAAAGTTAAAACTGCCTTCCACAAAATTTTGTATGTATATGGCACAAGTTGACAGCCAAAAAAGTGTGAATTCCATCGAAAAGGCACTGTTAACAATACTCAGAATAATCTGACAAGTCTACATCAATGTCTGAGTAAAGAATAGGTAAATAGACAAACCTTTATAAAAGATAGCATTATTGTTTAAATATACTATAGCTATATAAAAAGAAATAAAGTGACACAGAAATGACCCTTTTATGACAACTAAGCCTATAAACACCTTGAATCATATTAGTTCTGTAACACAAAAATGACAAAACATATTTTCTTAAAGGCACAACAGCATGAATATTAAATGAAAACTGTATTTTACAAGGCCAACTTTTCAATGGAACGCAGTTGCCAACTGTGCTGTGACCAAGACTACACTGCACCTAAGTGATACAAAACAATGGAATACAAGTGAAATATCTATTGCTGTAACTTAACATTTCAAATGTCCTATTTATTGTTTTCTTTTACATGTCCTGGGCCAGCTACATCTTACTAAATGGTTGATGATGGTATGGTACATTTAACAGCGAAAAAGAAAATGCACATGTGAATAATTATTACTCAATTAAGTTTTCATGTAAGAAAATTTTGATAAATGAAAAAAACTGGTCATAAAGTCATAAGTTCTAGAAACCCTCTTGATGCTCTCAGACCACGAGGAACTGTAAATCACATTATGAATCCAGGTGTGAAAGAAGATTAATTTCAGGTAAATAACATTCAAAGTCAATTACATAGTATGGCTACAAAGTTAGTAATTATGTGTTTTAAAGATTCGTATAACTAAGCCTAGTACAAGCACTGATCTAAAATTAAGCCACCAATTCCTGAGTTTGTGTTTAGTTCATAGAAAGAAACTCATACAACTAAAAGCGTAAGAGGACTATTAGATTAGATGTAGGCTTTTAGTGTACAAGAAACAGTCACGAATAACCCTGCTCTTTCTTAAGAAATAGTTTTTGACTCTTTGGGTAAGAACCCATAACATTTGCTCTAAAAAGAAAATTTAAAAATAAAGAAAACAACTACCTATTTAGTTTTAGATTATACCCATACAGATGAAATATTATTTGGACCAAATGAAAACAACATACACGTGGATAAGACCAAAGTCCTAAGAGGTGGGTCACCAATAAAAAATGTTATCAAGGTTTAATGATGAAATGATTTGTGTGATAAGCCAATCAAGTTACTTGTAATTAACTAATTTAAACCATAAAAAAGATCAAATTGGCCGGACGCGGTGGCTCAAGCCTGTAATCCCAGCACTTTGGGAGGCCGAGGCGGGTGGATCACGAGGTCAAGAGATCGAGACCATCCTGGTCAACATGGTGAAACCCCGTCTCTAATAAAGGTGCAAAAAATTAGCTGGGCATGGTGGCGTGTGCCTGTAATCCCAGCTACTCAGGAGGCTGAGATAGGAGAATTGCCTGAACCCAGGAGGCGGAGGTTGCGGTGAGCCGAGATCGCGCCATTGCACTCCAGCCTGGGTAACAAGAGCGAAACTCCGTCTCAAAAAAAAAAAAAAAAAAAAAAAAAAAAAGATCAAATTGTACAATATTTACAGAATATCATATATCAATGAATAGGCAGAATGTAACAGAATGTAAATACAAAAATTACATTGACAAATATGAAATATAACCAAAAATCCATTTGATCTAATGTCATGAAAATAATGGGCATAGGTAGGTCTTATTTATGCTTTTATCAATTTAAAACATCAATTCACATGTAATATAGAAGACAGAATTATTTTGCCAACAAAACATGGGAAATGGTTCTTCACAGAAACCTAAGAATACTTAAGATAGCTACATTGGTTAGGGAAAAAAGCAGGCTCTTTTTATAATCATTTTGATTTCCATTATTTAGCAATCAGCCCTTGTATTTATCATGGCATAAACAACTGATTGTAATTTTACTATTTCACAGCCACCTCCTACTGAAAGGCATATGTGGTTAGGGCAATTATTCTCTCTGACCTTCATTTTTATTAAAAAAAATTCAAAATCTATACTTTCAGGATTCTAAGACATATTTTAGAACAACATTTTTACCTTGGCAAAAACTGCTCTCAAGGAATATAAATATTTATATAAAAATACAAAGTGAAAATATTAAACTGAAAAAACAAAAAAAACTTAAGTTTTTCTTAACATGAATAATAGGAATCTCAAAGAATTGTGGTTTTGCCACAGAAAGAAGTTACTAAAAATAGAGGGGGATAATAAAAAAAATCAAACTTCAGAACTTGATACTCTTCGTAGATACTCAACTTACTGCATGTTTTACAGAAAACAATCTTAAGGTACACGTACAGGCCACCACACAGTGTCTTTTCTTACTGCCTTTCTCTTTTTGGCTTTTGAAGTAAAATATTGGTTATAATTTTTTGTATTCTACTTACTCACTGAACACACACTAGGGTCTAAAGCTAAAACAGGTTTTCATAATGAGAAAACATGAATTACCAGCACTTCAAACGCCCTATAAACATCTCTAGAATTTGGCCTATATTATGAACCAGCTGACCCAAGAAAAACGAAAGGAAGAAAAAAGGACAGCAATCAATTTTGACAACACTTTTTTCAGCAAGTGCTTAAAGTGGTATTATAATCAATCCAAGTAGTTGCACACCAGTGTTTTTATACTGATATACATATAAGTATATATATTTACCTGGATCTCTATATATTAAATTCTGGGGGTTAAAAAAAAATCTTGTGTAAACTTTAAAAAAAAAGCAATTTTCCATTTATCTCTCTCAATATATTCATTTTGACCATTCATACTATTTCTTTCTAAGAAGATAACTGAGCTCAGTACTTTGCAAATGATTTTAACAGTAGTGTATTGAACTAATTATGTCTATTATTCCATGATTTCTCAATCTGTAATTCCTTACTGATAAAAGTTTTGTGCCTGTTTTATGAAGAAAATAGATTACATATATTTATAATATTGATAGCTTTTTTTGTTATGAACAATGTTAACATTACATCTCAGAACATACTATAGAATACAAAGATTACTGTCAGGTAAGAGTACATAAGAGACAATTGTGTATACATGTGGGTTTATTATACTCACATGTAGACACATTCTCACAAAAGCTAGAAATGTCCTGGCACTTAACACATAGCTCACTTTAATAATCAAATAAGATAGCTCTTGTTTCAGTGTGAAGATAAAAGATATGAAAAGTCAATACCTCTACATTTATCTACTAGGTTTTTCTGTTTTTAGAAATACTGTGATTTTTAATAAAGACCAAACCAACTTAAACACTGGTCCCAGGCCAAATCAGATCTTTCTAGTTCACTGATTCAATGGTAGAGAACTATTTGAACATGAAGTTTATTATGACTTGAAGCAGAATCAGGAGGAAAATGATGAAGTAGTCTTTTTGTTGCAGAAAATAATCCGTGGCAGGTGTGCTTGAAACTAAATGATTTCGAAGAGCCATAATATTTCTACAAAAATAAGCAACAACAGATTTTATAATGATTTACCAGAAATGCTAGCATAGAAACCATAATCTGATATTAAACAGTCACAGAGCATTTAATGTTAATAATTTTTAGTTGCTGGGTCATGGAGTGGCATGTAGGGGGAAGGGTCTGGGATTGCAAAGAGGAATACTTAACAGGTCTCAGGGAGTGAATATTTATCCACTGTTATGGATGTATTTCCATATTTCAACTGGTACATTCCAATGAAATATTAGTCATGCACAGAGGGGACTGCAGAAGCCTTTGTTAACTGACTTTCTCAGAAACAACTCCACCTCCACATGCAACCCAGCTACATTCCTAGCATGCTACAGCAGTAAAATAAAGTGATTCCAATTCCACCCTCAGAGAAAAAACCTCTCCTTCCTTTCGAGTATTTTAGTGCTAGAGGAATTTCCTAAGTGTCAAACATCAGGTGACAGAGACTAACATTCTATTTTAGCCTAGCTAAATGTTATAAAAATTGAAGTCTGCATACAGTTTCCCACATAACAGGATTCTTAACTACTCCTTGGTCTCAAATGAATAGTCACTGTCAGTATATTATTACCTTTTAATTTCTTCCTGTGTTTGTTTTATAGATTCGATGGAACTCTGAATGTCTCCCAGTTCTATTCCTTTCTTTCTTCTTGTACTTGGTTTTACTGATTGAGCTAAAAAGACATTTAGAATGAAGTTGACACTATAAAAATGATCTACAGTTCAATTTAATGTGTCTCATGTAATAAAAATTTTCCTGGGCATTTGCTTTTGTGGCCTAGAGATTAGCATAATAATATGAATACTCTGCACTTTTGAAGTTTCAAACACATCATTGCAACACTAGAACACTACAAATATATCTAAATTACTACACATTAGTTTAGTTTTGGATGGCACCAGTTTTATTTTTTAACTAATTAAAACAGAAATAATTCATTAGAGAACATATATTAATTTGGGGAAGGTATTACTCCCTTCTGTTCTTTGCGCATTTGCCTGCATCTGAAGAAGTCAGCTTCTTGAGCCTTTTTTTCAATTTTTTATTTTTAGTGTTTAGTTACCCAAACTTTAAATCCCTTTTGATACTGTTTTTGCAAACTTTTACTGCCAATAAGCAAGCTGTATATGTTTTTCCAAATTCCCTCTCATATGCATTCTTTCCTTTCCATTTTTGTTCAGATCCTACTTAATCTCTCTGTAAGTATCAACTTTCTCGCTTTAAAAATAGTGATAATAATACCAGACTTTACAAGATTGTTGGAAGGTATATTTAACATACAGTCTGGCACTCAATAAATGTCTGCTGATACATCATAGTAATATAGTAAAGTGGTTGACAGTGTGAATTAAGGAGCCAAAAAATCTGCATATATAACACATATATACCTTTGGGGTATATATGACCTCAGGCAGTTTACTTTGTGTCTCGGTTTCTTTACTCGCAAAATGGGAATAACAACAATACAACCAGTTCTCTCTTCTAACACACTCGTATGCCATGTGACTCCTGCTTTTAAACCTGTATTCGTTTCATTCCTCTAACTACTCCAGTATGTTACTCCTACCCCACTCCCCAAGCCTAGTTTGCTATAATCCATTAGAAATCCTAATAATTCATCAGGATTCTAAGAACTTTCCCTCAAATTGAACTGCACTCCCTCTTCTTTAAACTCTTTATCATGTGCCATCTAATTTTTTATTATCTACCATTTATTCATCTCTAGTGCTATCTTTATAGGTAAAAATGGACTCCCCAGTTTAGTGTAAACTCATTAGAGATTATGGCTTAAAGTTTTTTTTTTTTTTGGATCATGTCACAAACATCACTTTAATCCTTTCCTGATTATATCTCAATATAGTTCAAGATAGTTTACACATTATTTGACTCTCATAAGAATGACATACAATTTAACAGTTAATAAGTTTTATATTTTTACTGTCTGTGACTTCCAAACACTACAGAAATTTATTCTGGAAATAAAACTTTTTTGAAGCATGGAACTGAGCTCAAAGCTCAAAAAACTGCTTCTGAATTCAGTCTAGGGAACCATCAACAATTTTTCAGAGGCTAACAAGACAGAAGAGGTAGTTACTACTAGAGCGTGTTTTTTTTTTTGTTTTTTTTTTTTTTTTTTAAGACAGGGTCTCGCTCTGTTGCCCAGGCTGGAGTACAGTAGTGCAGTATTGGCTCAGTGCATCTTCTGCCTCCTGGGTTCAAGCAACTCTCGTGCCTTAGCCTCCCAAGTAGCTAGGATTACAGGTGTGCACCACCACACATAGCTATTTTTTTTGTATTTTTAGTAGAGATAGAGTTTTGCAATGTTGGCCAGGACAGTCTTGAACTCTTGGCCTCAAGTGATCCACCCACCTCAGCATCCCAAAGTGCTGTGATTATAGGAGTGAGCCACCGCGCCTGGCCTAGAGTATGGTTCTTATTTGGATGTCTCCCCTTTTTCATTTTCTGTTCCTTTACTTTGCGTTCTGGTCTCACAACTTATCTATGATCTAGAATAGATTTTGTACCTCAACCCTACCCCTACCAAAACTCATATAACTTCTTGAATTAATAAGAAAAACCATATTCATATCAAATTGTGTAATTAAAAAAAAAATTAGACTCTCACAGTGAACAGTCTGCAATAAATATTTTTACCTTCACTTCCAGAGGAGTCTTGGATGTCAGGTTCTGGGGAGGAATAGCCTTTTGTTACTTTCTTCTGTTGCCTGGTTGGCTTATGTTTCATTTTGGGGACACTAACCTAAAGAAAAAAAATAATTATTTTGTGAATTTGCACTGTATTTTGGCCTAAAGACCAATGGTGTACAACTGTCAAAATTATCTGCAGATAGGCATGATATTCAGAAATAAAGACAATGATGAAATAGTCTAATTCAAATTTAAGAAATAAGATAAGATACACAATCAAATGATCTTATTTTAATAAAAGTAATTTGGCACAAACGTCAAAAAGTAAAATACACAATGAAGAGTATATCCAGTCTCTCTCCCACTAAATAGGTACCCATTTAAACAAACATGAATATAGAGCCCCCTACCTCTGACTACACCAGCTAGTATCTCTAGTAGAATGTTAAATAACAGTTTGTATAAATCATATTTAGCTTGTTCCCAATGTTAGAAACATTCCCATTGAATGATGCTGGGTTTCCAGTAAAACTGTTTATTTACTTTTAATCACATCTAGGTAGTACAGAAAGCATGTTATAATAAATAAAAATGGTATTATTTTGTAGAGCATTATTTAAACTTACTGAAAGCATTTAAGTGGATGCACAAGATTCTAAAGTATATGAAATCATCAATTATGACTAAATTTTCCTTAGAATAATAAACTTTAGACTCTATGCTACTAATAGGTTTATAATTTTGGTGTTCAGTATTAAACTTAAAAACCTAAATACAAGAGACGAAACTAGAATCAGAAAGACAAGACGTATTAGTCCATTTTTACGTTGCTGATAAAGACACATGCAAGACTGGGATGAAAAGGAGGTTTAATCTGACTTACAGTTCCACACGGCTGGGGAGGTCTCATAATCATGGCAGAGGGCAAAAGGCACTTCTTACATGGTGGCAGCAAGAGAGAATGAGGAAGACGCAAAAGTGGAAATTCCTGATAAAACCATCAGATCTCGAGAGACTTATTCACTACCATGAGAACAGTATGGGGGAAACTGCCCCCATGATTCAAATTATGTCTCACCAGGTCTCTCCCACAACGTGGGAATTATGGGAGTACAATTCAAGATGAGATTTGGGTGGGGGACACAGAACCAAATCATATCATTCCACCCCTGGTTCTTCTACGTATCATGTCTTCACATTTCAAAACCAATCATGCCTTCCCAACAGTCCCCCAAAGTCTCAACTCATTTCAGCATTAACCAAAAATCCAAAGTCCAAAGTCTCAACTTAGACAAGTCCCTTCTGCCTATGAGCCTGTAAAATCAAAAGCAAGCTAGTTACTTTCTAAATACAACGGGGGTACAGGCACTGGGTAAATACAGCCATTCCAAATGGGAGAAATTTGGAAACAAAGGGGTTATGAGGCCCACGAAAAGTTTGAAATCCAGTGGGGCAGTCAAATTTTAAAGCTCCAAAATGATCTCCTTTGACTCCATGTTTCAGATCCAGGTCATGCTGATGCAAGAGGCAGGTTCCACAGTCTTGGGCAGCTCCACCCCTGTGGCTTTGCAGGATATCTCCTCCTGGTTGCTTTCATGGGCTGGCGTTGACTGCCTGTGGCTTTTCCAGGTGCACAGTGCAAACTGTCAGTGGATCTATAATTCTGGAGTCTGGAGGATGGTGGCCCTCTTCTCACAGCTCCACTAGGCAGTGCCCCAGTAGGGACTCTGTGTGGGGGCTCTGCTCCCACAATGCCTTTCTGCATTGCCCTAGCAGAGGTTCTTCATGAGGTCTTCGCTCCTGCAGCAAACTTTTTCCTGGGCATCCTGGTATTTCTATACATCTTCTGAAATCTAGGTAAAGGTTCCCAAACCTCGATTCTTGACTTTTGTGCACCTGTATACTCAACACCAGGTGGAGGCTGCCAAGGTTTGGGGCTTGCACCTTCTGAAACCATGAGCAGAGGTTGTACCTTAGCCCCTTTTAGCAGTGGCTGAAGTGGCTGGGATATAGGGCACCAAGTCCCTGGGTTGCACACAGTATGGAGACCCTGGGCCCAGCCCATGGAACCATTTTTACCTCCTAGGCTTCCCAGTCTGTAAAGGGAGGTGCTGCCATCAAGACCTAGGACATGCGGTAGAGATATAACACTGTCTTGGGAATTAACATTTGACTCCTTGTTACTTATGCATATTTCTGCAGCCAGCTGAATTTCTCCTCAAAAAATGGGTTTTTCTTTTTTACTGCATCATCAGGCTGCAAATTTTCCAAACTTTTATGTTCTGCTCCCCTTTTAAAACAGACTGCTTTTAACAGCAAAACAAATTACTTCTTGAAAGCCTTGCTCCTTAGAAATTTATTCCACCAGATACCCTAAATCATTTCTTTCACATTCACAGTTCCACAAATCTCTATGGCAGGGTCAAAATGCCACCGGTCTCTTTGCCAAAACATAACAAGAGCCACATTTGCTCCAGTTTCCAACAAATTTCTCATCTTCATCTGAGACCACTTTAGCCTGGACCTTATTGTTCATGTCACTATCAACATTTTTTGTCAAAGCAATTCAACAAGTCTCTAGGAGGTTCCAAACTTTCCCACATTTTCCTGTCTTCTTTTTATCCCTCCAAACTGTTCCAACCTCTGCCTGATACCCAGTTCCAAAGTTGCTTCCATATTTTGGGGGTATCTTTTCAGCAGCATCTCACTCTAATTTGCAATATTAGTCCCTTTTTACACTGCTGATAAAGACATACCAGAGACTGGGAAGAAAAGGAGGTTTAAGTTGACGTTTAATCCCACATGGCTAGGGAGATCTCATAATCATGGTGCAGGGCAAAAGGCCCCCCTTCCTACATAGTGGCAGGAAGAGAGAATGAGGAAGACGCAAAAGTGGAAACCTCTGATAAAACCATCAGATCTCATGAGACATATTCACTACCATGAAAACTGTATGGGGGAAACCGCCCCCATGATTCAAATTATCTCCCACTATGTCCCTCCTATAGCATGTGGAAATTATGGGAGTACAATTCAAGATGAGATGTGGATGGGGACACAAAGCCAAACCATATCACAAGGTAATCTTTATGCTTGAAAAAACAGAGAACAAGTGGTCAACAACTTGGTTCTTTCTTGTTCACCATTCTAACAGGAAGTATTCCCAATTACTTACTTCTTGAAATAATTTTGCAAAATCTTATTCATGTATTTAAAAATAAAATTTCTATAATATGCAACAAGCAAGCAGGTTTGGCCCATACTCCTGTGTCAAATGCTGGAGACTTAAAAATTTTATAACTTTTAAAATAGAAATCCGCATTTCTAGAGTAGGTTCAAATTAGAGATTGATGAAGACTAGTGAGAAGCTTATTTAAAATAACAAAGGAAGTCAGAAATACAACTAGAGATATACAAAGATTTACTCTGATCAGTAGAGTATTCCTTTAGAGAAAAATACAGAAGCCTGTGTGTATCTATTTAGGGTTGTTAAAAGAATACAATTTTTAAAGTTTTTGAATTTTTAAATTTCATAAGATATATAAAATAAACCGTATTATTTTAACCATTTTGTGTGTACAACTCAGTGGCATTAATTATATTCACAATATTATGCATCCATCACCACAATTCCAAAACATTTTTATCTTCCTCAAGAAAGGTTGTATAACAATTAAGCATTTCCTTTTCCTCTGGTCCTGGTAACCATTTCTAATCTTTTTGTCTGTACGAATCTGCTATCCTTTATATTTTATGTAAGTGGAATCACACAATATTGGTCCTTTTGTGTTTGGTTTATTTAACTTAGAATATTTTCAATGTTCATCCACGTTATAGCATATTAACAGAACTTTATTCCTGCAGCTGAATAATATTTCACGGTATGTATATACTACACTTCCTTTATCCATTCATCTGCTGATGGACACATGGATTGTTTCTACCTTTTGGTTATTATGAATAATGCTACTATGAACATTGCTGTACTCGAATCTATTTGAGCACTTGTTTTTAATCTTTTGGAGTAGAATTGCCAGGTCATGTGGTAATTCTATGTTTGGCTTTTGAGGACTTGCCAAACCATTTTTCACAGTGACTGCACTATTTCACATTCCCACCAGCAATGCAGCAATGTACAAGGATTCTAACTTCTCCATATCCTCACCAACACTTATTTTCCTCTTTCTAGTAGGTATGATATAGTACCTAATTGTGGTTTGGATTTGTATTTCCCTTCTTACTAATGATATTGAACATCTTTTCATGTGTTTGTTGGCCATCTGTATATCTTCTTTGGAGAAACATCTTATCAAGTCCTTTGCTCACTTTTAAATCAGGTTGTCTTTTAAAGTCAGGAATTCTTTAGATATTATGGATATCATGGCTTTATCAGATAAATAATTTGTAAATATTTCTCTCATTCTATAGGTTGGCTCTTCACTTTGTTGACAGTGTCCCTTTGATGCACGAAGTTTTAAATTTTCATGAAGTCCAATTTATCTACTTGTTGCTGTTGTTACTTGTGCTTTTAGTGTCATATCTAAGAATGCATTGCCAAATACAAGGCTGTAACGACTTATCCCGGTTTTCTTCTGAGAGTTTTATGGATTGTAGCTGCAATTTTGGGTTGCAGACCCATTTTGAGTTAATTTTTAGGTGGAGGGTCCAACTTCATTCTTTTGTATGTGGATAGTTATCCCAACACTGTTTGTTGAAGACTGTTATTTTCCTACTGGGTGGACTTGATATCTTTGTAAAAAATAAACCGGTGGCTAGCAAGATGGCTGAATAGGAACAGCTCCGGTCTGCTGCTCCCAGCAGGATCAATGCAGAAAGCAATGGATGCAGCCCACAGAGAGTGAGCTGAAGCAGAGTGGGGTAACGCCTCACCTGGGAAGTGCAAGGGGTCAGGAAACTCCCTCCCCTAGCCAAGGGACGTCATTAGGGACTGTGCATTCCAGCTCAGATACTATACTTTTCTCACAGTTTTCGCAACCAGCAGACCAGGAGAATCCCTCGGGTACCTACAGCACAAAAGCTCTGGGTTTCAAGCACAAAACTGGGCAGCCATTTGGGCAGACACCAAGCTAGCTGCAGAAGTTTTTCTTTCAT